GGGTCTCCCAGCCAGCGGGGCACGGGCCGCCCGGCTGCGCTTAAAGGGACAGCGGCCCCGCGTGGGGGGACACGAGGCCGCGCGTGGGGCCACCGTGCCTCTGTTTTGTTGTGCGCAACTGGCTCGGCCCTTCCGCAATTTTATTTTATTTTTTTTTTTCTCCTCCCTCTCCCGCCTTGAGCATGCTGCTGAGTGACCCCCAAGTTAAACAGCTTCTGATGGAGTGGCTGATGCCTCCACTCTAGGGGTCCCAAACAGAAGCTACTGAGTCCCTGCCTGTGCCACTGCTGCCAGAATCTGAGCATATGTTTGACACGTTTCCCTTGCGAGGGGGATGAAAATTAACAACAACAACAACAAAACTCCCTCTCCCGCCTTGAGCATGCTGCTGAGTGACCCCCAAGTTAAACAGCTTCTGATGGAGTGGCTGATGCCTCCACTCTAGGGGTCCCAAACAGAAGCTACTGAGTCCCTGCCTGTGCCACTGCTGCCAGAATCTGAGCATATGTTTGACACGTTTCCCTTGCGAGGGGGATGAAAATTAACAACAACAACAACAAAAACCCAAAACACACAAAGAAAACAAAACCCACGGAGAAACAAACCCACGCAGAAACACCACTGCATCTTGGACCCCATGGACATGTCGCCGTACTGGCGAACGCGTTTCTGGGTATGCCCCGGGCGTGCTCGGTACGTGGGGGCTGCTGCCGTTTATACACCTCAACTGATTCATTTTTCAATGTATTTGATACTTGTTTATCAAAGTGAGTTCTGCTGGGGCTGGTTGTGGCCAAAGCCACAAACTACGAAGTTTTCCCCAGAGTTAATGTCACGCCACGAGGAAGCGCCCAGCCTGTGCTCTTGCCTCTTAGATTTTAACACCATACAATTTTTATACTTTTATACCATCTTGATGTTTTACTTGTGCCATTGGGAAGGCAGTAGCCAGCCAGCCACTCTCCAGATGTGCTCAGGAGAGGCCTCTTACCTGAGCCTCTGCTCTTAGGCCTGACTGAGTGTCCTATGGCTGGTTATGGCTACTAACACCGTCCATCACGTTGGTCACGCGTGGACAGCGTAGCTGAACGGCTCTGCTGTCCTCGTTGCGGTGTCCTTGGCTCTTGTGATTAATGCCTTGGAGGACGTGGGTCCTAGCAGCTGTGGGCTCCAGCCTTGCAGCAGTGCAGGCCTGGGTCTGTGAAGGCCCTGAGGGGACAAGCGCCTGGTTCAAGGGCCCCTCTTGGGCACCTTCTGGAGGTGCCTTCTTGTGTCTCCAAAGAGGCCAACGTCATCTAGAGAAACCTCCGTGGGACGGTTGTGCGCATTTACAAACTGTGGCTGTGGGACTAACAATAGGCCATAGTTCACCGTGGTTTTGGTTCGTTTTGTCTTGTTTTGGTTTGTTTGTGAATTCAGAAAGAGTTCAATCAGATTTTAGTTTGCATTGAAAGTTAGCTTTGTGCGCATTTGGCCTTCAGCTTTTCTTAACAGGCTTTGAATTGTTTTACTATCAGTCTGAATAATGCTTGGTCTTACAGGAGTGCCCTGTGGCCAGGTTTTATCCCAGTTCTCATAGTACTTGGTAGGGGGCTGATTCATTTTTTTCAAAAGTTTCTACCCTGATGATGCCAGAAGCAAAGTTGGGCTCTGAGGACCTCCTCCTGTGATGGAAAGCAGATGCCAAAGAAGATGACACTCTGTTATGTTTCTCAGAGCCATGACTCAGAAGACAAAATTTGCATTTCATTTCTGAATACCTTCTCTCCCTTTCCAGAGGGATGAAGGAGCGTGAGGAATTACCCTCAGGGCTTCTCTCAGTGTGAGGGGTCACGCATACCTGAGCAGAAAGGTTAGGCTGACTTAGTTCCTGCAGGTAGCCCTGGCAGTGGTTTTGCCTCACCAGGAACTGAGTGCAGGAAGTGCAGTATTGAACGTGGTTTTAAAACTTTGTATGTCATTAGATAAGAAAATGAATAAGGAACAATATACTAACGAATAAAGCCTAGAGGATCTTTACTACCAAGGCCCTCCTTCACAACTGTCAAAACTAAAGAACAAGATGACTTTTCTTCAATATCTGCTCCCAACTTGAGGGTAGATATTTACACTGTTAGGAGAAGCTGAATTTCAGTCATATATCTAGAAGCTATGCACCAAAGCATAAGCATTATTAGAGCTCCTAGAAACATAGCTAATGATTTCCTGACCAAAAAAAAAAAAAAGAGAAATTAACAATTTCAGACTTGATTATGATAAAGATGAAATAGTTACTAAAATCAAAGCCTGTGTTAGCCTGATTTTGATATGGCTATGTTCAGTATGTGAAAATAATGTTAATATTCATTTTCTAAATATGCACACAGGGAACTGGCTACATGTAGAAGGTTTATCTGCCCCCAGAAAAAAGGTGTGGAAAAAAGGAGAAGAAAAAATATGTAGAAAAATTGTATCAAGGAGTGTCTGAAAAGAAATTAAGCGGGACAAGTCAGGATTTTATGGTTAAGAAAGATGGCAAATTCAGAAAAATGCATTTCTAGTGCAGTGGAGAAGTGAATGCTGCAATTAAAAATAAATATAGGCAACAAGCAGAAAAAAGACAAATATAGCAATCAGTGCAAATAAATCCACAAAGCATAGAAAAATGGTTGACAACATCAGAATGTGCATGGTTGATTGTTTTAGGAACAGCTCAGGTTTTCTAATTCTTACTAGTATCTCAAGCCTATTATATTCCTTTTTTTAAACACTGATACAAAAAGTAGAACTGTTTAATGTTTTTTCTATGCTTGGAAAGAATGTATTGTGTGTTTATATCATGTGAAGATGACTAAGTGCCTTCCTGTTCATTACTAAAGGGCACTAAACAACTTATCTCACAGATAAACATTTTGAAATACACAAGTCCTAAAAAACTTCAACTTGGGAGTCCTAAAGAAGTTTGCATATGTGATCTTAGGAGGTATGAAAACATGCTATTTTTTTTAGAAGTTCAACATATTGTAGAAATTCTGCAAGACATGAAGACTAGCGCTTTGTACACATTCGAATAGGACAAGTTAGAACACATAGGTAAGAATGGACCGATCTAGCTGACAATAAATACTGACACACAATAAAGAATTATGAGATTAGAATAATGCGATAGCAGTTGGTGTGGCTTTGTGGGGAAAAAAAAAAAAAAGGACTTTCAAAATTTTTTAATATCTTGTTAGATAACAAAATTGCAAGGATAATGATGCAGGTATAAAATACATAGATAGTTCCAGGTCTGGGAAGGTGGCACTGTGGGATCTCCAGAAAGCGAGCACCGTGTGGCTCAGGTGCGGGGTGACCATCTTATCTCACAGAAATTATTGCTCAATGGAGGCCACTCCAGATGATTGTGCAGAATTCAAGAGCAAGGTTGATGCTGCTTAGGATTCGTAGTAATACAAAGTCAGTATAACATCTCAAAATAAGAAATCGTATATGACAGAGAGATGGGCAGAGTTATAAATATTGCTGAGGACAGAGTGGTCAGGAGCAGTCTGGTTTGCTTACTGCAAGCTCTGACTGACGGGGGGGGATGGCTTAGCCTGGGACATCTGCAAAGGTTACAGGCAGCTGCTTCTGTCTTACTCTGGGTGTCTAAGTGTCTGTGAGCTCATGAGGCACCTCCCAAATTGTAACAGCATTTTTAAGGCAAACAATGACACTTCACCTTAAAACTTTGAGCTATAAACTCAGATTGAAGAGCTGATGGATGAGCAGCGCTGACATCCAGAGAGGCAGAGCGCACAGCTAAGGATGTCCCGGTTGTGCTCTGACTTACACCTCTTATGTGGAACTGTTGGGATATAGCACAGTACAAGACAACACCCATTAGAATAAAAATTAAAGCACCTCTGAGAAAAGTTGGGCTGCGGAGTGAACAAGCAATTCTATAAAGACTTCTTATCTGATGCTTTGTCTAAAAGGCCGTACACTTTGTATTGTAAGCCAAAAAGCTGTGGAAGAATTTAACATCAGGACTAAATACAGCTTTAATGCAACGTATTATAATTCTGGTGTCCTTGTTGCTAAAAGATTTTGAGAAACTGAAATGGGGCAGAAAGCACCCCCTCCTGTGAATAACTGTATTTCTTCTGTAAACCAAGGGCTAGCTCTCTTCATTATCTCAAATTCCTACTGCATGCACCAGTTTGCGGACATACCCTATGAATCATGTCTCAGATGCTGCTGTTCAGTTTTCACATCCTGCCACAGATCCCCCCAGAAACAGTACCCCTGTTTTTGTGCTTGAACCACAAACCTGAACCTGTATATGTCAGCAGTTAAAATTCTGCTCTTCCTCCTACGTAATGTGCGTATGAATATCCTATACAGAAAGGTCATCTCTCTTCTTTCAACCCATTTGTTATCTTATTCTCACAGTGCTGGAAAACCCCTAGCCTTCGTATTGAGAAATCTGTGCAACTGTGTAGTCATGCAAAGGCTGCATTTGTTTTGAATTCCTGTGTGTCTCTGAAAATGCTTCATTTTATCCAAATATGTAGGCCTCATCATCATCCTCCAAGAGAAATCCAGGAAGGATTTTAGTTCAGTGCTGAAGCTGTTGGATGCAAAGGGCATATTGGGTCATTTATTAATTCAATACCCAAGTTCCCCCTTTTCAGAAGAGAATTCTGAATTATGCTAGCTGTCCCTACAGAATGCATATTGGGTTTTGTTACATTTATTACTGTGCATGTCTGCTGTACTTCTGTGATTGGTTAGTAAGAACTCATTACCCATTGCTAGCTTTTGCTCTCATGAATCTTTTTTTCTCTTCTTGTACAAGGTTTCCAGTACTTAATCTGTAACTCAGACTGCAACAGGCTTCTCTTTGACCCATGCAGCTGGTTTTCCTTGAGGAAGCGGAGGATAGAGAGGCAGGAAATAAGAGACTCTCATTTCTAAAAGCTTTGAAAGTCCATGTGATGTGAAGCAGGGAAGATTCCATCACCTAATCCCCATTATGTATCTACCTCATTACTTAAATCCCCAGATTAGTAACTGAGGCCATAGTTTCTCATTTACAATAACTCCCTTAATACCTCAGGCTAACCCTGGAAAGAGAGTGGAAACTGTAAAAGCCGTTTCCATTTTGTGCAAATATGAAATGTATACTTGTATTTGGCCCAAAAGGAGGAAAGACCAAAATGGCAGGAGAAGGGACATTGTCAGAGGCACACAGATGCAGACAGAGAAGCACTCGCTCCAAACTGTTAGCAGGTCGATACCTATTAGAACAGTCCATTGGGGTTGAACTGGAGCTGAGAAATTTTTTTCTGTGTTGAGTCCCACTCAGAAGGCATTTTAAGATCAGCCATTATACTGACAGCAACTCAAATGTGGGCTTATTGCTTTCTGTTTTAAAAGTTATGAGTCACTTTAGTGTTCGTGACAATGGTGGCCTTAAAAATGCAAGTAATTTAAGACTTGCACAGAGGAGGAACAACTGTGGTACAAGTTATGACTAGGTAATGTGAATAGCAGGAACACCCATGCAGTTCAAGAGATGACTTTACTACTTATCTAAGTCAGCTCGGCTCTGCTCTCTTACATTTTGCACATCTAGTCCCAAGCAGAGGTAAGAACTTGACATGGAGGCTCCGCAGCGACACGGGCTAGGCAGCCGGGGAGGGCAGTGCCTAAGGTCCTCCCGTGGCTTCTCTGCTCTAGCCGAAGGGGAAGCTAGAGCAGACAAAATGCAAAATCAGGGGATTGTTCCCCTATCATGGAGCCCACGGCCTCCTCCAGGACTTGCAGTTTAAAAGCGCGCATGGATACTGCTACCAAAACCGGAATGGAGGTAGCCAGTGCCATTGGAAGTGCACAAGATTTCATTAATCATCACTGCAACTCATCCCCCTTTTACACAAATTACCAGTTATTAAATATTCACTCACAATTGTCTCAATTAACTATCATGAAGGCTTTATTTTGCACTTTTACAATGTCATAGGTAGTTGTCTGAGAAAATATTCACGAAAGAAGAGTGACTAGAAGAATAGAAAGACTAGCAGTATACCTCAGTTCTAGCTGTTTAATTATGTTTAGTACTGGCTACAAATAATAAGGTGAGAAAAGAATTCTTCGTGTTTTCTGAAATCTTCATAACAAAAGATCTTCTGAATATAATTTTTCTGGAGATTTCAGAAACACTTTGGAAATGACAACTCCAATTCTACTGGGGAAGTTATATATGTAAAAAAGAAGATTAGTAATAGATCATTATCAAAATAGAAGCTATTTTTGAAACAACATGAAACATCTGTAACAGATTCAGTAAA